TGCCTCCAAGGGGCACTCTGGCCAGACTTCTTTTGAGACAGATTGGTTTGTCCTTGTGGAAGTCCATGGTACTTCTCCATGTCCTTCACCAGCACCACGAGTCAGATGCACAGGTTTTTCTCAGTCTTCTGTCTCCAGTGTCCACCTTTCACGTGCGTATGAGGCCACGGAGAATACCTTAGTCCTCAAAGCAATGTCTTCGCTCCTCATTACAATCTGAAGAGATCTTGTGTGGCAGATTTACCCAGTGCAGTTCATCTTTTGATCTCTGGGCTGCTGCTTCCATGAGTATTGCTTGAATTCAAGCAAGATAAAATCCCTAACAACTTCAACATTTTCTCCATTTATCAAGATGTTACCTCTTGGTCCAGTTGTAAGGATTTTAGCCTTCACATTGAGTCCTAATCCCTACTGAGGGCTGCAATCCTTGATCTTCATCAGCAAGTGCTTCAAGTCCTCCGCACGTTCAGCAAGCAAGGTTGTGTCATCTGCATGTCCCAGGTGGTTCATACGCCTCCCTCCCATGCTGATGCCCCATTCTTCATAAAACGCAGCTTCTCAGATGATTTGCCCTGCATACAGGTTCCGTAAGTATGGGAGAGGATACAACCGCGACACATGCCTTTCCTGATTTTAAACCAATTTTCCTTTGTTCTGCTCCACCCCTGCCTCTTGATCCATACACAAGTTCCACATGAGCACAGTGAAGTGTTCTGGAATGCCCGTTCTTCTCACGGTGGTCCAGTTTGTGATGGTCCACACAGTCGAATGCCTTGGCAGACAGAGTCCATGAAACACGAGTCAACAGCCTTCAGGCATTCCCTGCTTTCAGCCAAGATCTGACATCAGTCCTCAAAGGAACCTACCGAAAACTCTTAAAGAGTTGGGGACAGATGCTAGTCTCCACTAATTAGGGGAGGGGGTAAGTCTTAATGGAAGTGCAGCCCCTCTTCCCAGCCCCCATTGGCCATTTACCTGCCTTTCTCTCCAAATGATTGTGGACATTCTGCCAGCTGGGTGAATGCTGTACTCCTGTGTAAGACAGACTTCCCAAGAGGCAGCCCCCAGACCCCGGCTTGTTGTCATGGCAGACCGCTGCTGCCGGGGAAGGAGTAAATGCAGCGGTGACCTTCAAGGTCCATCCTGAATGGCCAGCAGAAATCCACCATCCATCTTACCCCCCAGAGGGAGAAGCTGTCCTGGGTGCATTCCTAGAGCAGGGGTCGGCAAACTTTTGAGACGGAAGCGTCGATCTTGCCCCTCTCAACAATGTAAAAATTATTCTAGAGCCATAAATATAGTTCTACCAAGAGATGAGATCACCACGATCCGAATAATATCCTTTAAATGCAACTCTGATCATTTGGTCTTTACTTCAGAGCCACCTGTGTGTACCCAGAGAGCAGCAGTTGCTCTGGAGCGGCAGTGTGCCAACCCCGTCCTAGAGTGAGCACCTGGATGTGAGGCAGAGAGCCGTGTTACCAAAGGAGCCGTGGACAGGGAGAACGAGGCACTGCCCACGGCATGTCCAGGCTTCATTAAGGCCAGTGATGCGGCTGTCCCTGCCCATCTTCTACCAGCCAGCAGCACTTGCTGCAGTTGCCAGCTTCTGGTGGAAGGACCAAGAACAAAGGCCCCGATTTATGCCTCTGGAAGCAGCTTAATTACAAGACCTGTGCCTCCCTTCCGGCGAGCCATCTCAAGGCCAGGGTCAAGGAGCAGATAACTTGTTGCATCTTGAGCTGGCTTTCCTGCCCGCCGGCTAGGAGCTGCGGCATGAAACTGGCTCAGCACAGAGGGAGGAGAGGGAGCCTCCGGAAGGCCAGTTGGTAGTGCTGACCGCCGCTCCCTGGCAGTCCAGCTTAGAGAGGAACTGCCCCTGTGGGCTTTCTAGCCTGGGTGGTTTGCTGTTGTTGAATTTTGTGAATTCGGTGGATGTGTATGGAGCAGATCATGTTTGAAACACATTTTGTAGCAAAGCTTTTTTTAACCTACCGTGTGTGTGTGTGTGTGTGTGTAGTGTCCTCTGTGATGTGGTTTCCTACCTTGGGTGTGTGTGTGTATGTGTGTGTGTGTAGTGTCCTCTGTGATGTGGTTTCCTACCCTGGGTGTGTGTGTGTGTGTGTG